TAGTTTGAGTTTTAGCTGAATAACTACTCATACTCTTTAATACACTCATACATAAAACAAATGAGTAAACTGCAAGTGTAAGATAATTTAAAAATTAGAATGTCAAAAGGTCAAAAGCATTTCAAGTAACATTGAGAAATATTTGTCTTAGTATTACAAAAAGTTCCTCAATCCTATATGAAAACTAGAAATTCTAAGAGATAAATGGGCAAAGGGTAGTAATAAGTGATTTCACAGAATAGAAATACCACTAGATGAGAAATGGTTGTTAGTATTTAAAATATAACAATTAGGTTGTGGTAAAACTGGAACACTGAATATTGATATAACATTAAATACTCCATTTGAAAGACATCAAAAGGTACAATCTACTAATCCCATCTACCATAATTATTCCTACACGAACAACTATTTTGCATATTTTTTCCTTATGGTAATTGCAGATTACCAATTATAGTATAAAAATGAATTTCTCCAATGACCTACCATAGGAAAATGATTAAACATAATAAAAGTTTCACCATGTGCATAGTGATACACTAAAAATATACTGTAATGGTTTAGAATCTAATTAACTATGAGATTACGTCTACAGAGACAGAGATTAGAGGGTATTGCACAAGAATGAAAATAAGTTATATTTAGGTGAGATGCTAAGTACATTTTCTTCCCCACTGTACAATGTATTGTGTTATTTTCTCTAAGAAAGAGATATACCTTTCATGTTTGGATCAATTTTTTTTGACCCAGCAGGGATGGGTGACACACTGGCAACATTGGATGACACAGATCTGTTTGGTGTTCTAGGCGAGCCTCCAGGGACTCTTGGTGAGGCATCCTAGGTAAAAATAGGAAAACCACAAATACTAAAACCTAAAACTTTCAAATTCACAAATTACTTGCCATGATCCACCATCTATTCTACTGCCTTTTATACTACCACCCATCAACAAAAACATTACGAATCTTGTCCTCATTACTATAGAATATCAAAGGCCCACCACGTTTTAGAATACTAATTTTTCCTTCAATGGATAAGGGAGAATGTATAAAGAAATGAGATGTGGTTATGAAATTAAGTTTGGAGTCAGATCTGGGTTTCAATCTGGATTTATATCCTACCAGCTAAATAATCTCAGGCAAGCCACAATGTCCTTTAAAGCCCCTGATTCCCCAT